ACTGAAGCACACTGGCCAAATATACCACTGAAGCACACTGGTACAGATCACCCAGTGAAGCACACTGGCACAGATCCCCCAGTGAAGCACACTGGTGCAGATCCCCCAGTGAAGCACACTGGCACAGATCTCCCAGTGAAGCACACTGGCACAGATCCTCCAGTGAAGCACACTTGTACCTGGATATGCATGTCTAAGGTGCTCATATACATATAATGTGCATACAGTATATTTGAAGGTACATGTACAGTACATACACAGATACACATTTACAGCTACAGACTGTATACTGTATAGATGTGTATGTGATGTAAATGAAGGTAGAGCAGAGCTTGGGTTGAATCTCAAAGCCAAAGGCTAACAAAGTGCAAAGCCAACCACACTATACATAGTACAAGCTTCCTCTCAAATGCTAATGTCTGAATAATGTAGCATGACTCATTCTTCTTTTTAGACAGCGGCAGCAATTTACCTTAATAATTTCGAAGAGAAAAAAAAGACATATTCCTAATTCTTCTGGGAATGATTTTTCATAAAATATAACAACCTTGCACTCATTCACACATCTACAGATGTGATCTTTGCTACCACTATTAGGGCATGCAAATACACTGATATTACAACAGCTATAAAATGACCAGAAACTGAAATGTTGCATGTACAGTAGTGGAATATAAAGTCTTGCTGTTGGTATACATGAATACATTAAGTCACCAAATTCTTTCCTTTGTTTTCATTGTTGAGTTAAGTTTTTGTATACATCAAACAATGTATAATATCACTTGCCACTGCAAGTGTGCTATTGCTTCCTATAAAGCATATTTCACTGTATCATAAGCAAATTGTAAAATGTTACATTTAATGTGAGAAAATGCTGCGGTCTGTTCATTGGATACATTTGCTGAGCAGATTGTGGTCACGTCTCTTATAGCAAAGCGTGACCATTGCCTCTGCACACAAATATAGATTACGGATACTTTTGCCACAGACACAGGTAATTAATAGGACATTATCATGCAGATAATGGGTGAAAGCTGTGGTGAGCCACTGATACTACCTGAGAGAATCAGTGCTGATTCTGCAATCTTAAACTCTCATGTCTTCCTCCCAGAGAGATAGGGGTTATTTGTGTTGTCCACGTACTGTAGAAACCTCATTCGATCAGTACTAGTGCAGGATCTGATCCAATAAGCAGGGTAGACGATAAAATGTATTTAATGTGTATCTTGGCATTTGTAAAAATTCAAAAATATAGTAAGCTTGTGGTTCTGAACACAACAGTTCAAATATATATATATAAATGATGTCTTAAAATAAATACTATAAAGTGTTAGAACAATTATAAGACATAAATCCAAATTTCACATGAGTTCTTCAGGGAGATCACTTAGGCATAGCTGGAATGAATTACTATATAGGCCAAGACATTTATCTTTCAAGTACTGAAAATAGCACCAGTTTCTCAACCTACAACATAAACAGTCTTTCATTTCTGCATATGTATTAATTTAAATTCTGTTTCTCAATGGAAGTGAGCTTGAATGAACATCAATTTCTGAACATCTGTAGAAAAATCAAGACTCAAGAAGTCCAAGCCACAGAAATCTAAATCTCAAGCCAAATACCTCATAATGTATTAGCAGTCTGATTCTCACACACTTTCTCTTTCAACACAGAATTTCTTCCTGCAGTATGAAAACAAGTCAACATAATATATCCTTCAAGTATATATAATGTGACTTTTGATAGGTAGAATTTTCTCTTGACTCTGGGCTTATGTACACTTTGTAACCATTGCAAACTCTGTTTAAATTCTTCACAGTCTGCTGACTGCTTCTTCTTTAGCATTTTTGATCACTTTGGGCTCAAAATTTCAAGACAAACTTTTACTTAAATACGTATTTGCAGCAGTTGCCAATATAGAATGTAAACCAACTTCAAATTAAAATTTCAGATGGTTGAAATGTTCCCTTCCTGATATGACTTATTCAGTGTGTGCTTTCAAAAATTGTTGTAAGTTAGATCTTACATTCATATGTTTCAAAACAGATAATACATGAACCAAAAACTTTCTAAGTCATTTTGTGACAAAATTGGTGCTTCAAGTGCACCAATTAAGAGAGCATCTCAATCGATGAGAATTTGATTTAATCTAGGAAATTGAAAAATAAAACTTAACTCTGTTTTAATAGCAACTGGTTTTGCATCTAAAAATCATGACTTCACATTTAATGTGTAATTACAGTATATGAGGAAACTTGTGATTTTGGCCATTCTGTTTAATATTACCTTGGCAATTAATCTACCAAGAGTCTTGTCAATGTTAATCCTACTTGAGTAGGTTTTTGGAAAAGATTTCGTGTAGTTGGATCTCAGCTATTTTGAATGCATCCCACTATTTCAGACAGTAAATCAAACAAAGCTGCAGGTCATAATTTATATAGAAAGATGTCGGCAATGTGTTGCAGTTACTTATTTTTAAATACTGGAGATTTATGCAAAGTCAGTGCTTTCGCCTAATGTACGACTTGAGCAGCACCCCCATGAAGACACGACAGCTGTTCAACAGATACGGTTTTCCTTGTAGCCGGCATCTGCATTTATAACTAGCTGCACAGGGTGGTGTGTGTGTGTGTGTGTGTGTATATAAAGTGAGGAGAAGGAGCACAGCTGTGGCACCTTGAAGACAAGCATGTAATTATCCTCAAAGTAAAATGAGGCACAGTACAACATCTCCAAGCCAGTCAGAGAACCCAGATGAAAAACTCCAAATGAAAACAACAACATTAATGATGCTTGCTTAGAAATGCACTGATCTCTCATGATTACGCATTCAGCAAAAAAATACGCATTCAGCAACAAAAATATATTACGCACCGCTGTGCATTCAGTAACTAATTACTCGGAAGAAAACAAACCTCTTCCTTTAGAAGCATAACAACTGGGTGGCTCAGAGGAAGGCCAGCGTGTGTAGAGAATGTCAAGGCTTGGCTACATCTGACTCCGCCACCACGTAGCCTTTTAAAATAAACGGAGACTGTCCAGGAAGGAGGGGGCAGGGATCAGGCATTGTTCAGTTGGCTTTTTCCAGTATCCCGGTGTTCACTCTTTCTCTTTGTTGGCGGGTGAATATTTACAGCCGAGTTGGTCTGATTGAAAAAGGACCCTCTCTTTGACGTTCAGCTGATTACAGCATTTTGGGCTCAAGAGGAATATTGATTAGTTTCACACATTGCGGTGTAATGTCTGAATGAGGTCCACTGGGGCTCATTTTATTGGGCTTTAATCAAACGTGGAAGGCATTATCTTGACAAAAAGGCCAATCCATTTCTTGTCAGCTTGAACAAACACTAATGAAAAGAGAAGGTCTTGGGGAATAGTTGGGGAAGCATGGTACTGAATGAAAGCAGTGTCATCATCTTTCCTCAAGTTTGTCTTCGATTTGATAGGTGTAGGTATTTTTCCCACCTTACCTAGCCTTTTTGTGACTTCCATCCCACTAATCGCATGCTTTTGTAACCTTCGAAATGTTTCTAATGAATAAAAAATGAGTGTTTGCTGCAGTAAAGAGTAACATCCATGCAAATATTAATTGTCACGATTTGCACAGAAAGTATATTAACACGAGTTTCAGAACACAGTCATCCCCACCAGACCTTAAAATACCTTCACTATCGGAATGCTTCTGTTTCACTTGCCTTGGACAGAGCAGCCAGTTACTGATGGGACTGTTAGGTTCCTCCAGTCCGTCCTCTAGGGTGCCATGTGCACGCAGGACCAGTCACTAAACACTTACATCACCAAAATGGTTTTATCAACTAGACTTTCTTTCCAAATGCCAGCAGACATCATCAGGTTTCCTCAGTTAGAAACATGCTGTCTCACTGTCAGTGAGACACCTTTTCCCTTTTTGCTGTCACAGAAAGTTCTGGGCCAGTTTATTTTTGACTCACATTAAGGGCAGCGAATTACACAATGCAGGACTTTGAGTCTACTGGGCGCTAAAACTACAATACACCTCTCAGTGGGAAATTCCGACTGCAACACACTGCGATTCTTTGCACGCTTGGGCACTTCGATAATAAACACAAACAACCATTCTGAAATGAGAAATTAATCCAAAACACAAGAAAATAAAAAAAACTTTGATAAGCCAGGATTTGGACTGCAAAATCACAGATAAATATAGTCTGTATCACATGGGAACCCAGTTAGCAAAGCTCTTATGTTTTGAAACACCAGTAAATAAAAAGCTTGAGCAGGATGTTATTTAAATACCACAACAGCATTTCAGATGTTTCATACATGTGCGGGTAGTGAGTAAAGATTTGATTGTACATCTGTGATGTCATACCACTAACATTTAGTAAGTATGGATTTCCTGTTGTGTGCAAAATGCAGTTAAGTTAGAATTGTGAATAGATTCTGGTTTATTTGAGCTTGCAGAAGATTTATTACCAATTATCTGCTCTGCAATAGGAAATGTATCAACATTGTAAAAGTCTGATTTTCATATAATGCTTAATTTAAATTTTCCTCGCTGGACACTGCCCTGCGATTTTCCCCTCACCCTCAGCTCTTAATGACTTCATTGAATCAATTACTGATTTTCTCTTTCTAAATTGCCACGAGCTGAAACTCTTTTTCTTGGCTAGAAAACCAGTCCAGAGATGTTCAAGTGAAACAGGCAGCCAAGGTGTCAAGCTAGTGGAGAACTACTCATTAGTTTATCCAAACTGAAATACAACATGATAATGTGGCAAATCGGGCCTGTGGGCTGTCCTCTAATTAATCAGGGCATGGCTGAGCTATCTTCTCAAGTACACACCAGATTGCCTTTAATTATCTGTCACCTATGTAGAAAAGTGTCCAATATTATACTTTTAATGGTCTTAAAATGGGCATTTTGAAAGTGCCCAAGGAATTCAATTTACTTTGGGAGGTTTTCAGGCATCTCTGCTTGTGTAACAGACACTGAGGTTGCTTGAGGTTTCTTGCCTTGTTTTGTTTCTCCTTTCCAGGACAGAAAGTTTTAGAAGCTCTGCATGAGGATCAGATGTCTGTTTCTGCCATGGCTACAGACCAGAAATCCAAGATTGTCCACTCGCAGCTCCACGTGTGAACACATTCATTTTCATTTGCCAGCTTACAGCTACAGTCCGGGCTCCTGCCCTTTTGTGCTGGTTTCCATGCCGATAGTTAAAAAGGGAGCATGTTTTTCCAAACCTGAAGTACCATTTATGGAGTCCTGTTTGTGCCTTAATATGCAGTGTGTACCCATTGTACACTAGCAAAAAGCAATATTCAATTATTTCTCATATGACCCCTTTTGCATTGTATCCACTGTATTTTAGCATCACTGTTAATTGTATTTTTATATAGATCGATCTATTGTGAGATTATCAGCATTAACTGTAAGTGGCAGGCCGGGAAATAAAGTTTTCAATTACAGCAGACCTGACACTTGGGGCCACTAAAGGCCTCTATTACTGTCAGTAGACACACTGGGAGATTAGTTAATTGGATAACCGATGTAGGTGAGAATTGCAAATTCCCACATGGAGTTAATTAAGGGACTGTTTGTTTTATCAAGGGTGTGCACAGCGCTAGCTGTGGTTGTGTTTTTAGTAGAAGGTGTGTGGATGGTTTTCAGGGTCTTTGCAATAGACCTGTTCCTTGTACTTCTCATGTCATTTAACTTTGTATTGTGTTCAGATTCCTTGAGCCACTTTACTTATCTTGGAGTCACTTGCACTGTACTATTAGTAAGCATGTCACCTTTCTCTTACACCAGACTAGAGCTAAAACTGGCATTAAGATTCCTGGATAAATGTAACATTTTGTAATGGTTGTGAATTTTAGCAGCATGTGTCACTGACACGGACACCTTTCCTCCCTAGTGTTATCATAATATTATCATCCAGGGTTCTAATCAAGCAGTGTAGCTCTCAACTCCACATCTAATCAACACAGAAAACTTTTGCTGTGCATAACACTGAGTTCTAAAAAAAAAAACATTTTCCCCAGCATTGCTAAGAGGTTTCTTTGGGATTCAGCGCAATATTGCTTTTGTCCAGTAAGAACAGCAGTAAATTGAGATTGAGATGGAGCTGGGATAAGTGGCATGATGGGGAACAGTTAAAGAGCAATGCAGAACAGCATGTTCTTTCAGTTACTGACAGTCACAAGATTGTGGCTGTCTCACAAATGCAATATTGTTAACACGGAGCATGAGAACAATCCTCTCTCCCTTGATGTTTCTGACTCAGTAACTATATTGCTTTTCAATTATGTGAAAATCATGAACTAAATGGCTTTTGAAAGTACTTTTTACATTACAGGATGCTCAAATGTATTTTTTTTTATAGTCTATAATACAGAGATTAAATTAAATGCTAAGACAAGATGTTTTTCGCACTCATATTGAAACATTAGAACCGAATGAGCGCATAAGTTTGGTGATTGCGTTAAAGACTATAACGAGGCTTACCTGCACTCACTTCTCAATTTCATGTAAAACAGATGTAAAAGAATAAGTGTGATAGGAAGGCTGCAGGAAGTTTATTGAGTCCTCTACACCATGCCTCTTTGCCAGGGACTGTAAAGTGAATAACAGAGAGCAGGATTAACAGCAAGTGTGGATCAGAAGTAACTCTCTGGCCCCTATCACCGCAGACACAGTAAAGTCATTCTGCAGCTGAAGTCATGTCTGCAAGTTCCAGCATTTGGCGTTTTAATTCTATTAGTTAAATAGTTCTAATTGTCTGATCTGGTTCCGCCTTTTTTAAACGTTAAACTTCAGTGAGACAAATATGAATTTGTGGAGATCTGAAAGCGGCTTTGAGGGAAGACACAAACTTAAAAAGACAGGATGTGTCAAAAAAACCCTGGAATGCAGATATTGCATACGGCTCTTCTTCATGTGAATGCCTCAAATAAGGCAGTCAAGGTCTATCAAGAGTGATTCATAAACGTGATTAGGATGTGGAATATGTAGGGGAGAAGCTGAGTAAGTCTTTGGTGTCTGCCACTGTGCGTCTCAGTGGTCTGTGTAAAACAACCATCTTGCAAAGAAGAACAGTGAGGAGTGTCTGTAAAACTAAAAGTACACAGCTTTATCGTGCCAGTTTTACTGATATCCTCATCAGAAAGTGAGTTAATTTAGCTTTACGGGCTCATAACCTGTTGAGGGCTCATTATTGTAAATACCCCAGAATTATAAACCACCAGTATGATGTTAATGATGCCCTTATTTAGTCATGTTTTTACATCTCAGAATACCTTAGCTGAAGCAACCAATCTCATCCATCTGGTAAGCAAAATAAACAGGGCTGAAATTAATATAGATTTGCAGATTTTAGTGAAATGGTTTCACATCTGTAGTAATATTATTTGTCAAACAGGATAGGATTAAGTCTCAATAATGTTCAAAAGATCATTATCAGTTTTTTGGCTATGTTCATTAATTAATTTGCAATTTTGCATTGACTTCAAATCGCTGTCCACAGCAATATCCCCTTTTGCACAATCCTATGCAAATTAGACAGCCAAGCCATGCTCATAGAACCAAAATAAGATTTGTTTTAATTGTTTCAATCAAAATGATAAAAATAAGTATTATCAATGGGCTGGAATAATTTCCATCCTTCTTATGAGACTTTGAAACAAGATCCTGACTACTAGTTTTCCTGGGCAC